ATTGCAAATAGTTCTGCGCAAAATCGCTATGTGCAGATGGCCGTACAACTGACTTTGTGCAAGCTGCTTTGGGCAACTTGCTGTGTGCAAGTTGGTCTGTGCAAGTGACTCTCTGCAAGTTGCTCGGTGAGAAACCGTCCGTCGGCTCGGCACGGAAGAGCCTTCGTGAGCTTTCGTGAAAAGGGTATCATTTTGCCCTGCACAGAAAGTAATGTTCAACTGCAAGTTCTCATTGCTTGCAATTAGGCATTGTGGATACGGCAGATATACCGTATGTTTGTGCATAGCTACATGTTTTGCACCCATTGCTACTGATGACACGACAGGATGTGACTGGCATGCATTATGCTTCACAGGCGTGATTTGCGCATTGACCTTGCCAAGGTATGCCACCGCCAGGCTGTGATTTTGTTTTGCACTGAACCAGTGAAAGCTGCAATGCGCAGGCATGGGGCCAATGATGGGAATGATGCCGCCTGGAAGATGAGAGAGCTGAGCTGGCCTTCTGGTTGGCGCTGTTGACTTTGCCACTTCTCATGACGTGTTGTTTAAGCAGCATGAAGAAGCACGCAGCTGAGACGGAAAGACCATGGCTGGTTGGAAAATGTGCGAATCTGATTGTGCACAGCACAACATCTTACAGAATACAAACAGGTTCCAGCAGTTCCAGCATGTCCAGCAACAAACTGCGCTACATTAGCTACATGTGTTCCAGGGACACTTGGCATGTGCAATTTGAGAATTTGGTGTTGCATGGCTCCAGCTTCACGGGCTTGTGTGATTTCAGACCGACTGCTTCAATGTTGGAGGTTGTTTTGACATTGTATGTTCAGATCACATTGTGATTTGCATTGTTGAGCTGAATGAGGGTTGCGATTGTTTGCTTGCATTTGTTGCCATGTATCGGAAGCTCTGTGCCCGCAAGCCAGATTTACAGCAGGCAGAGGATATTTTTCACACGTTCCGCGGCAACCTCGACGTGGTTGATTTGGCGGACATTGATGCTGGCCTGAACGATTTTCCGGGAGCAAAATGGTTGGAAGGTAAAATCCGGAACAGGCAGCCGATTGGCTGGGACTTGGAATGGCCCCCAGATCGCTCCAAAGAAGCCAACAATCCGATTGCCCTGATGCAATTTGCGGATCACGAGTATGCTCTGCTTATTCGCACACATCGAAGTGAACGTTGGCTACCAAGTGTGGTGAGACAGGCTCTTCTTTCTGACACGTGCACCAAAATCTGTGTGGGCTGGGACGGTGCTGACAAGAAGAAGATGAAAATATCTTTTGAGCTGGAGCCGCTGGGCCTTTTGGACTTGTCGGTTGTGGCATCCCAGAAGGGTTTGAGAGAACGCGGGCTCAAGGCGCTCGCAGAGCATTTTGGGTTTCGCATCCGAAAGGAGACGCGGGTGGCCAGGTCTAATTGGGCAGTACGAGAACTGACTACTGAGCAGGAAATGTATGCAGCAGAAGATGCTTATTTTACATACCTTCTGAAGGAAAAGCTGGAGAGCCTTCCAGACATTGAAGAAGAGTCTGTCAACTTGGCTGTGGAGGGACAGCTGGCACTGAGGGAGGGCTGGGCAGAAGCAGGTATTGTCAGGCGGCACGATGGCTTGCACTGCGAATTATGCCATCAGGGTCCGATGAACACTCAAGAAAATGTGGAGTCGCATCTGAGAGGCAGCAATCATGCAGCTTAGCTGAAAACATTGACACTTGGGCATGATTGTAACATTGTTCCTCAATCATCCAGCAATTAGCAATCTTGAAACTGTCTCTGTTCGTTCAAAGATGCGGAATGGGTTTAGTCAAATGACCTTGCAACCGAGTTGCCATTGCTGCTCATATTCATTTGCGGCCAGGCAAAAAAGACAAAGGCCAAGCAGGGTCCAGTTGTAGATGCTCTCACAGAGGACTGAACCTCCAATGGCGCAAGCTGGTGTTTATCAATGCATCGTGCCAAAAAGCCAGGAGCAGGAGTCAAATGGAATCTTTGCTGGAGTGACTGACTCAGGCATGATTGATGAATCCCGCATGGTCTCAACAGCACTGACGGTGTCTGAGCCTCGTTGATGCATACTGAGGATGGGACTAATGGTGTGGATCTGGGCCAGTACAAATGTCGCTTGTGCGACACTCTTCTCACTTGAACCTCGACTGGTTATATCCAAACCCTTGTTAGCGGATGTAGGCCTACCCACAGCTTGACAATATGGGAAAGTCGAGTCATGTAAGAGTTTGCAAAACTAGGGTTGCAATGCGTTGCAGCTTACACTGCTATGACACTGCTATTTGCATAGCATATTGGTGCATGCATCTTTCTCTCAGAGATCAGAGAGCCGCCACAGAGCCTCCTTTTCTGCTAAGGCACTCAGAACATAGATTCACACATCAAGTCGAAGAAGCACCAGAAGGTGGGGTTGCGCAGGTCGACGCACAGGATTCAGAAAGCCGAACAAGTCTGAAAGCCAAATTCTGCCGAAAAGCCGAAAGACGATTGAATCCGAGGTGCTTGAGATTGCTCGAGATTGCTTGAGTTTGAATGCGTTTTCTCGCAGGTCCTCTCGCCTCCAGCTGAGGAAGTTCCTAAGGATCCCTTCGCTCAGCTTTGGATCCTTGGCCAAGCAGTTTCCAGAGATAGTTTCTTTTTTTGAGAATGGAATTCCATTGATTGAATCGTATGGATCTGCCCAAAGTGATGTGTTGCCAACTGAATTTTGAAAGTTGAATGATATCCGGGTACCAAGCGCGCGCTCTCTGGAAAGCAAGCATTTTGTGTGCTTTGGCCACAAATGCATGTAATGAGAAACCTTACCAAGGTTCACCACCAAGCCCATGAGCAATCCAGAATCAATTGCAATTGTTTGTCGGTCAGCAATATCAAATACAAGCAACATACATGGGCATGGCGAAGAGAAAGTGCAAGCGCGTGATCGAACCATATCATGGCAAGGACCTAGAGGGCTTTGGAGGGCCTGGCTAACAGGCCAACAAGGCAAGCTCTTAATTCACAAGGACATTCCAAGTTATACGAACTGCATTCGATTGATCGGGCCAAGTCAGGAACGTGCCAGACTATGTGGAGTTCAACAACCAAGAGTTAAGCTGCGCCCGGACTGCAAGAGAGCAACATCCTTATATCATCAGCATTGCTATCAGTTTTCGGCACGCGCTAACCTGAGTGCAAAGCAGCTCTTGCCTGTCTTGCAATTCAGAGCTCAGGGAAGCGCCATTGAACACTCACGTGCAATGCAGTCAGCAGAGGTACTTTGTGCTCGACAAAAGCTGCAAGCGTTCGCCAGACTCATGGCCAGAGTTTCATACACTTATTCTGCATTTGTGGTGCCTGTGTTTGCAACTGTTTGGTGTTGCCAGCCCAGGATGCATCAGCATTTGCATGGTGCCCCAGCTCAGAGCAGTGTGAAGCGAAGCGATCACGAAGTGCTCAGCCCAGGTACTCAGCACCACAAGAAAGCTCGCTCCTTGAAGAAAGAAGATGTCATTTATGTCAAGGAGCTGGCTTGCTTGGGCATTGGGATAGAGAACAGTGCGACATTTGCTGGGGAAAGAGGATGGTTTTTGGCTTCCCTGCTGTGTGCGTGTGCTACATCGAGGAGAAAGATAGGCTGGAGTTCACAGAGAGTGGAAAGCCCGTTGTCCGCATCTTGGTTGGAATAGGTAGCACGTGATTCCACGTGATGGAAGGGGGTATCTCGTCAAGATAATCCCTGTAATGCAAATCGATGCTGAGCTACAATAGTATGCCAAGACCCGCCGGCTACTTTGCGATGCTATTGAAGCTATGTTTTACGATGTCTCATGCTTGCCGAGGCACAGGCTTCAAAATGCCAGCAAAGGCCAGTACAGTTTTCGATTTGCCTGAGCTCCATCAGATATGCCAGGATGAAGCCCGCGCCACTCGTAAAGCCTCAACCAAGCCCCACATCGGCAGAAGCCCAGCTGCATGCTTCGGATGCTAACGCATGCATGCGAGCGTACTAAATCAAGTGGAACAAGAAACACACTGTTTTAAGTACGCTGTTTCAAGTATTGTGTCTCCTCCAGGTGACGAAGAAGAACTGCCAGATGGGTGGGCATGCTCCATCGATGAGAAAACTAACCGCCCATACTACTGGATGGCGGCTCTGCCAACATTGTAGACTGGTATTGCACAATGACTTCAGGAGCCTCCCCTTCGGATTTGATGAAAGTCAAGCGTGGCATCAGCGGCAAAAGTGCCCTAATGCTTCGTCAAGTTATACTTGGGTGTGTGTGTGTGTGAGGTGTGTGTGGTGTGTGTGGTGTGTGTGGTGTGTGTGTGTGGTGTGTGTGTGTGTGGTGTGTGTGTGTGTGGTGTGTGTGTGTGTGGTGTGTGTGTGTGTGTGGTGTGTGTGTGTGTGTGTGGTGTGTGTGTGTGGTGTGTGTGGTGTGTGTGTGTGTGGTGTGGGTGGTGTGTGTGTGTGTGTGTGTGGTGTGTGGTGTGTGTGGTGTGTGTGTGGTGTGTGTGTGTGGTGTATGTGTGTGTGTGTAGTGTGTGTGTGTGTGTGGTGTGTGTGGTGTGTGTGTGTGTGGTGTGTGTGTGTGTGGTGTGTGTGGTGTGCGTGGTGTGTGTGGTATATGTGGTGTGTGAGGTGTGTGTGTGTGTGGTGTGTGTGTGTGTGTGTGGTGTGTGTGGTGTGTGTGTGTGTGGTGTGTGTGTGGTGTGTGTGGTGTGTGTGTGTGGTATATGTGGTGTGTGTGGTGTGTGTGTGTGGTATATGGGGGCCGTCCGTAATTGCGTTTCTAAAACTTATGAACAGAGGTAACTTGTCGAGTCGCGCGATTGGGAAAACTCGAGCCGCGGTTGGCCGGCGATTGGAGCGCGAACGGGAAACGAATTCATCATGAATTTGGAAGTTGCTTGGCTACTACTACTACTACTACTACTACTACTACTACTACTACTATTACTAGTACTAGTACTACTGCTAGTCCTGCTACTACTACTACTACTACTACTACTACTACTGATACTACTATTCTCATTACTTCCACTACTACTGCTACCTGCTACTGCTATTGCTACTGCTACCGCTACTGCTACTGCTACTGCTACCACTACTACCACCACTACTGGTACTCTTTTGCTACTATCACGACTACCGCCATTTGTTTAGCACAGTAGTTTAAATTGCCAGGAATCCTACCAGCATGTCTGGTTTTGCTACTACTTTCATTATTGCCACGAACTTGTGGTAATGACTTAGTAAGCAGCAGTTGCCGGGCGCAGCTTGAGTATTCTGTTGTGGTACGCCAAGTAGCATGCAAAACACACGCGTGAGTGCGGACCGCTCGCGCGCGGAACCCGAGCGCGCGGAACCCACAGGAGCGCAACCCGCGCGCGCGGAACCCGCGCGCGCGGAACCCGCGGCCGCGTAGAATTCGCGTAGTGCCTATTTCACGCTTCTATCTTCTCACGGGCGCTGCCCGCAAAAGGAGACAACATCTCTGAAGCATCCCAGTTGCGTTGTTGCTTGCGCCGCTCCTTCCCTAGATGGGGTTTTGCGATGGCTTCGGCCTGCGTTGTATTTTTCTATCATGTCTGAAAGTGTTCATTTGACTTGCTACCGCACTGCATCCAGGGCTATTAGACCGCCACAGCAGGATGAGTGTCATCTTTTCTTAGGGATTGCTATTACTGCTACTAGTCTCAGCAGGAACATTGTTTCAATACGACCGCTGGCGTTGTAGTAACGGTACCTTACTACCGGGGCTGCTTTGTTTCTACTTTTTTTGTTGCTTACTGGAAAACGAGACGTCATTGCTTAGGGTTGATCGATTGTTTTGCTCACCCTAGGGCCTTATAGGGTCTGAAACAGGTCTGAAACAGGTCTGAAACAGGTTTGAAACATCCTTTCTGAAACATCCCGACGCATGTCGCTGATTTTGACTGCGCAGGCTTGCCCGAATGTCCCCGCTAGAACCCTGGATGTTGACTTTGTCTGGCAGGCCCAGACAGTGCTTTCCAAGTCTGATTGCTAGCAAGGGCTAGATGGAAGCTGCAATCCGAAGTTTCGCCCGACGAATTCCGCGATTGGACCGCGATTGGACCGCGATTGGACCGCGATTGGACCGCGATTGGACGAATTCCGCCAGTGAGCCCCTGCCCATCCGGGCTTTGCCGCTTCCTTCTTGTCACTTCTTTCTTGTTCCGGTGAAAGGTTGACTTGTTGGTGACCGCCCCCGAAGACAGCAAGCCACGACTCTGAAGCAGGTTTATGGTGGCCAACAAGTTGCTGAGGCGGAGTGAAAATGGAGCCACATGAAAGACTTTGCTGCAGACAGCAATGAGTCCAGTTCCTCGAGCAGCACTTCTACCACATCAGATTCTGTGGACTCATAGGATCGAGCAAGTTGCAGCGGCGAGAAGCGCAAAAGAAGGCGGTGTGTGTGTGGTGTGTGTGTGTGTGGTGTGTGTGTGTGTGGTGTGTGTGTTGCGTGTGTGAGCGCGTGTGCCTGTGCGTGCGCGTGCGCGTGCGCGTGCGAGCGCGTGCGCGTGCGCGAGCGCGTGCGCGCGTGCGCGTGCGCGCGCGTGCGCGCGTTCGCGCGCGTTCGAGCGTTCGCGCGCAGGTGCGGGCGCGCGTGCGCGTGCGGGTGTGGGTCTGGGTCTGGGTCTGGGTCTGGGTGTGGGTGTGTGGGGGTTTGGGGGTGTGGGGGTGCGGGGGTGTGGGGGGGCTGTGTGGGTGTGTGGGTGTGTGGGTGTGTGTGTGTGGGTGCGTGAGTGCGTGCGCGTGCGCGTGCCCGTGCGCGTGCGTGTGCGCGTGCGCGTGTGTGTGCGTGTGCGCGTGCGTGCGCGCGTGCGCGTTTGCGCGTGTGCGCGTGTGCGTGTGTGCCGTGTGTGCGTGTGTGCTTGTGTGCGTGTGTGCGCGTCTGTGTGCGTGTGTGTGTGTGTGTGCGCGCGCGTGTGTGTGTGTGCGTGTGTGTGTGTGTGCGCGGGTGTGCGCGCGTGTGTGTGCGCGTGTGCGTGTGTGCGTGCGCGCGTGCGCGTGTGCGCGTGTGCCGTGTGTGCGTGTGTGCGTGTGTATGGGTGTGTGGGTGTGTGGTTGTGTGGGTCTGTGTGTGCAGGCGTGCGCAGGCGTGTGTGCGTGTGTGTGTGTGTGGGTGTGCGTGTGCGTGTGCGTGTGCGTGTGCGTGTGCGTGTGCGTGTGCGTGTGCGTGTGCGTGTGCGTGTGCGTGTGCGTGCGCGTGTGCGTGTGCGTGTGCGTGTGCGTGTGCGTGTGCGTGTGCGTGTGCGTGTGCGTGTGCGTGTGCGTGTGCGTGCGCGTGTCCGCGTGTGCGCGTGTGCCGTGTGTGCGTGTGTGCGTGTGTGCGTGTGCGCGTGTGTGTGTGTGTGTGTGGGTGTGTGCGTGTGTGTGCGTGTGTGGGTGTGTGGGTGTGTGGGTGTGTGTGTTGTGTGTGAGTGTGTGTGTGTGAGTGTGTGGTGTGTGTGTGAGTGAGTGTGTGAGTGAGTGAGTGAGTGAGTGAGTGAGTGAGTGAGTGAGTGAGTGAGTGAGTGAGTGAGTGAGTGAGTGAGTGAGTGAGTGAGTGAGTGAGTGAGTGAGTGAGTGAGTGAGTGAGTGAGTGAGTGAGTGAGTGAGTGTGTGTGTGAGTGTGTGTGTTGAAGTGTTGAAGGCACACTTGAGGCCACGAAAGTGTGGCGCGAGACACAAATGAGTGTTCAGGAAGGTGGACCCTGGACCATTTGCCATTTTGGCTCAAGGCCCAGGGGAAATCATGTTTTGCGTTTTTTCCCCTGTGTTTTCTCCTCGCGAGTTTCGGCTATCGGCTATGCTTCCTTCTGCTGCCGAAGCGTTGGCTTTGACTACCGTCACGGAGCTCCTCGCGCTCTTCCGGGTGCCGCGGGAGCTTTGGGTGGCTGGGCGACGACCGCCTGCGCTTGTGGCCTGCAGTTGCGAACAGGCCTCAACGGCAGTTGGGGCACTGAAGGTTGCGGAAGCGACTCAGGCGGGATTGGTCTACAGATTGGCGAGGAGGATTACGCGTGGGGCGATTGGCAAGACCCCAACCTTGGGGAACAACCAGGTCAGGCGTCTTCCAACACGGCATGGGGGGCTGCTGTGTCGAGTACCCCATCAGAGAGCATCGAGAGAAAGCTCAAAATGAACCTGATCATAGATCAGGGCGACGACATGGGACCTACGTCACCAAGGAGCTGCGTGGACCTTCGGACTGGAGCTAGTGGTTGGCTCAGGGTTTACAAGGTCACGATGGTCATGTTGAATTATGTCAGCTTAGGGACGTTGCAGGCCTAGAGACCTTCTCACGAGCTGGCTTGGTGGTCAACGGGCAAATTCAGGCGTAGAGGCATCCGTCACAAGGGCGTTGGCGGAGAAGTTGGGCGTGCCCTACTTGGCTTCGGGCTTGCAGGGCATGGCGAAGCATTCGCACTGCTGGTGGCCCTGCACGTCTGGGATGCGCTCTGTTGCTCACCCTCCAGCGGCAGGAAGCCCGGGCCTCAAGCGCTTGGCGCTTGGGCGCAGATCTGGAGAAGCTGGACGTTCAGCACGTGGACGCTTCCTTTCCCGAATACGGCAGCAGAGACTGGCTATCAAGGCTGAAGGAAAGGGGGGAATTGCCCGCCGCGCTGAGGGGCGTGAAGATTCGAAGGACGGGTCTGACGGCAGTGCCAATCGCTGAAGGATGTGCGCTCTCGCACGCTTGGGACTGCATGCTGCAAGGAGCAGTCCCAAGATACGCGACTGTGAGTCCAGGAAAAGGAGGGGTTCACGTTAAGGTTGATCGCGCGTTGTCGTGGGTTCGTGTTTGCGTGTTGTCAGCTTGCATTCTTTTAATTGGTTTCGACAGACAATATGTCTAGCTCGAGCCAGGAAGGGTTGGCCCCGTCGGCCCTTCTTACACCCCATCGATTCGCACGTTAAGGACGAGCCATGAACCTGGGATCAGATCCTGATGATTGGCGACATGGGCATGGTGGCTATGGCGCGACGCAGGCGATGGTGTCGAACCCACCCACCCACCCTTGTGCACTGGTCCCCTCCGGTCACTCGCGGACACAGCGCCAAAGAAATGGACAGTGTTGGTTGGAAACTTCTTGCAGATCCCCAGAAAGAAGGCGGATAAACAATGGCGCAGCCCGAGG